GAAATGTCTGTTCATTTCAGATGCCCATTTTTTAAATTGGGTCTTTTTGTTGGGGGGGGGTCTGCTTTTTTTTTTTTTTTTTTTTTTTTTTTTTTTTTTTTTTTAAAATTTTTTTTTTTTTTTTTTTTTTAGTTCTTTATATATTTTAGATAGTAAAACTTTGTCTGAGGAGCAGCTGGTAAAAGTTTTTCCCACATTGTAGGTTGTCTCTTAGCTCTGTTGGTTATTTCTCTTGCAATGCAGAAGCTCTTTAATAAGATGACATCCCAGTTGTTGATTCTTTGTGCTAGTTGTCGTGCTACTGAGGATTTGTTCATAAAGTCTTTTCCTATGCCAATGTCTTTGAGAGTTCTACCTAACTTATCTTCCAGAAGTTAAGTGTTTCTGTTTTAATATTTAGATCTTTAATTCACTTTGATTTTAGTTTAGTGCATGGTGAAAAATAGGTGTCTAGGTTTAATCTTTGGCAAGTTGAAATCCAGTTTTTCCAACATCATTTAAAGAGGCTATCTTTCCTCCAGTCAGGACGGTTGGCTCCTTTGTCAAAGATGAGGTAGCTGAGTGTGTCTGGAGTTATTTTTGTGTCTTCCAGTCTGTTCCACTGATCCTAAGGTCGGTTTCTTTGCCAGTACCATGCTGTTTTTATCACAGTGGCTTTGTAGTTTCAAGTTGGGGATTGTGATACCCCTGTCATGTCTCTGCTGCCTAGAATAGCTTTTGCTATTCTAGATCTTTTCTGGTTCCAAATTTTTGGATTGTTTTCTTTACTTCTGTGAAATATGCTGTTGGGATTTCAATTGGGATTGCATTGAATCTGTATAGCAATTTTGGAAATATGGCCGTTTTTATTATGTTGGTTACCTGCTACCCAGGAGCATTTCTTTCCATTTTCTTATATCCTCTTCAATCTTTTTTTTCAGAGTATTGTAATTTTCAGTATAGAAGTATTTTGCTTCCTTTGTTAGATTAATTCCTAGATATTTCATTTTTTGGATGCTGTTGTGAAAGGAACTGTTTCCCTAATTTCTCTCTCAGTGAGTCTGTTATTTGTGTACAAGAAGGCTATTGATTTTTGGGTGTTGATCTTGTATCCAGCTTCTTTAATGAATCTGTCAGTTATGTCTAGAAGTCTTTTGGTGGTGTTTTGGGGGTCTTCTATGCACAATATTATGACAGTTTAGCTTCTTCCTTTCGTATCTCTTTCTCTTGTCTAATTTCTGTGGGCAATGTTTCAAAATTATATTGAACAGGAGTGGTGATAGTGGACATCCTTGTCTTATTTCTGATTTTAGCATGGTTTTCATTTTTTGACCATTTAGTATGATGTTGACTGTTGGGCTTTCATAGATAGCTTTTATTAAGTTGAGATAAAGACTATCTATTCCACCTTTCTGCAGGATTTTTATTATGAATGGGTGTTGAATTTTGTCAAACATATCTATTGAGATGATCATATGGTTTTCATCCTTGACTCTATTAATAGTGTATTACATTTATTGATTTACATATGTTGAACCATTCTTGAATCCCTGGAATAAATCCAGTGTGAGTAGGGTATATGATCTTCTTGATGACCCTCTGTATTTTGTTTGCCACTCTCTTAGTTAGAACTTTTGCATCTATGTTCATTCGTTAGGGATATTGGCCTGTAGTTCTCTATTTTGGTTGGGTCTTCCCTGGTTTTGGAATCAAAGTAACACTTGCTAGATTTTCTTTTTTATCATGGAAAGTTGGAGTCTTCATTTATGTGTACTCCTCACTTATCTGTATGTCAAGTTATTTTGCTTTCTTGGAGAAGTTTTCTGTCATTAATTCTGTGAACAGGGTTTTTTATGTCATTTGTACTTTCTCCTGCTTTTTCATGGACTCCTATCAGTTTTATATTATTCTTCTTTGCATCATCTAGGAGCTGTTGGATTTCTCATGGTCCCTTAGTATTTTTAATAGATCCCTCTTTTCATGGTCACTGACCACCATTCTGTCTTCTATATTTGATATTCTGTCCTCAGATTGTCTCAGTCTGTTGTGTATACTTTCAATAGAGTTTTCTGGGGTTTTTTGTTTTGTTTTGTTTTGAGACAGGGTCTCACTATGTAGTTGAGACTGACCTGGAACTCACTGTGTAGCCCAGGATGGCCTTGAACTTACAACAATCCTCCTGCCTCAGCCTCCTGAGTGCTGGGATTACAGGCATGAGCCACCGCATTCCACTTCAATAGTTTTTAATCTCCTGTATATCAATTTGAATCTCTTTCATGGTTTCCATCTCTTTCCTATGCTGGGCATTCATGGCTTCTATCATGGTCCTGAACTTATCTATTTTTTATCTGTTTCTGTTCTAGAATCTCCAATCATATCTTTCATTCTGTTCACCATCTCCATAGTTATCTGGCAAATTATTTCTGTTTTGAATTTTTCTAGAGCCTCATTCATGCTCTTTTTACTTCCTGTGGTATCAGCTCAGGGTGTCCAGATGGTTGATTATCAGATTTTTCCACTTCATTTTCCCCAGAATTTGCCTTTGGTGAGCTGGAAGTCTGTGTTTATGCCTTGCTTAAATGTTTTCTCATTTCTATTTTTGTTGTTGGTACTGTCCTTGGTTTAATTCCTGGGTTAATAGTTTGATCTTCCACATATAGCTGGTCTTTAGGGTTTGAGTCTCTAATGACTCTGAGACACTCTTTTTCATTATACCAGAAAGACAACTGATTAGATCAATCATAACACCTTAGCACAAGTGATATAATCAGCAACATAAAAGCTTCAAGCATAGCTTTAAAAAATGACAATTTGTGGTAGTAAATTAATCTATCACCTTTAACCATGTGAATTAAATCAAAATTGAGGACCAGCCCAAAATATGGTTATAGTGAATAAACTCTTCAACATAGCAACTTTACCCTTCAGGATGGGGACTTAGAAGAAGTTGGGGAGAGAAGGATAGATAGGTAGAAGGATATGGGAAGATTAGAAGTGAGGCCAGAGGACACAGGAAGATCACACAAACTCTAGGAAACTGTTGAAGACAAAAGGAAAAGACATAATGAAAGAACAAAGACAACAATAGAGCAACCTAACAACAATAGGGGAGCTAGAAACTGTAGTCACTTTCCTTTGAAACTAATGACAATTGAGAGAAGGAAAAAGAGAAGAAAAGATAAAGGAAGAAGAAATCTGAATTAGGACAGGAACAGGAACAAAAAGGGAGATGAAGAACAACGTGGGAGAGCAAGAGAGTGAGTGAGAGACAAAGAAAAGAGAAAAAAGAAAAAGAAGAAAGAAAAAGGGAACAATTTGAAAAAAGTAGAAAAAAATAAAATTAAAAATAAGAGGAAAAGAAAAAATAACTTTAAAATAAAAAATAAGATGAAGGGCCTCCTTCAGGGTGTCTCTGCTGTCACAATAGACAATGTAGGAAGCATTGTGTGGATCTAAGTCAATTATTCTCAGCAAGCCATCAGCAGATCCCTGAGATTCAGGCTGATTTCTGGCTGCAAGGCCCAAGCTGAGCTACCTGACCTCCTCAGGGTTGAACTCTGCAAGGTTCTACTGCAGGTTCCAGCTGCCCTTCCCCTGAAGAAAGTCCAGGTTCTGATGGGAGGTGGTGATCACTGCAACTTACTATCCACGGTGGTCTGGTGGGCCTTTATTGCCGAGGTTCTCTTCACTTTTCAAGTGGGCTTCAGTTTTCATCAAGGAACCTGAGAGAGGCCCTGTTTCTGCTCTATCTTCTGGAGCTCAGGACAATGGCCTTTAGGACCCCCTTTGCCTCTGTGACGTGGACCCAGGTACCAGCACAAAGAGGAGGCCAGAGGTAGGGGTGACTGGGGCTGTTGCTGTAGGGGCACCCACACAGCTCCACTCCTCACCAGTACACACTGCTCAGAGACGGGGGGCAGTGGGGGGTGGGGTAGCAGCCTATCTCCATGCAGCTCCACTCGTCCTCACCAGTCTGTGCTGCTCAAAAATGTGGTATTTATATTCAGTGGAGTACTACTTTCTCACAAAGGAGGGTAAACTTGCGGAATTTTTAGGTAAATGGATGCACCTTGAGAATATAGGGGAAATCAATTGAGCACTCACATTTAGATATTGCATTGTCTCTCTGGTGTGAGAGAACCACAGTGTAAATAAGGACTAAAACAGACGATAGATATTGGAAAGTAGGAAGAATTTGTTCAAATGGGAAGGGGAACAAATGAGTGGAAAGGGAGAAGCGAAGGGAGGGAATAGGGATAAAAAAAGAATGGATAAAAACAATAGAAACAAAGTTTTGTTAAGTGAGAGAGGGGGAAGGATTAAAAGGAAGGGAAAGGAATGGAGAAAAGAATTAAGATATAATGTGTACAAGTACAAATTCCCTATGATGAGTGTGATCATTATGTATATCAAAGATCTTCCAATAAAATTAGTTTTAAAAGATAAGAACATTTCTGAGTGCTCAATATAAAATTCTGTACTTACTACATAAATAAATACTTAAATGTCATTAGTGTATGTTTTATAAAATAAGACACTTTGAGAGAAGGTAGTTATGCTGGATGGGATCCAGATATAGAGAGGAGAACTGGGTTCACTGAAGCAGAAAGGGATTATTACACTGTAGAGAAAAGGTGCAATGGATGAAGATACTTCTAGGCCAAGTTTCTAGCAACAGCCTCAAAGCAGCAGAATTCTTAATTCTTCTGTGCTCATTTCTGTATTCATGTCTTTGGCAAAATCATTTGATTGGTGAAACAAAATTGCATTTGAGTCCCTAGGTTCAAAGGAGCCCAGGAAACGTAGTTTTGATATTTCTAGTTTGTGCAGCACAGAAACGCACACAAAAGGAGGGTGAGGTTTGAGTGGCCCGACCCAGCGTGCTTCCACCGTGAAAGAGAAGAGTGTTACTCAATTGCCGAGAGAGTCCTGTTACAATCATTCCAAACCGCCATACTGGTACAGGGGCATCTGGAATGTCTGTCCCACATCTCAGTGTGTCAGAGACGTGGCTGCCAGTGATGGGCTCCTGGGCAATGGCTGGGTCACGTGGGCTCTGCCTTTATCGACGGATTGATCTGCTGATGAGTTTGGAGCTCGGTGGGCCGATTGGGGAAGCGGGTCACTGGGGACGTGGCTCTGCAGGGTGCATTTTGTCCCTAGGCCCTTCCTCCTGGGCTCCTTCCCGCTCCTCTCTGCTTCCTGACCGCGGTGAGATGAGCACTTGGGCCCCGCTGTCCCCACCATTACGTTCCGAACTGGCCGAGAAACAACGGAGCCACCGCCTTGCGTGGAGGGAGGGGCGGGCAGCACCCTTTCGGGCTGGGCTCGCCTGGGTTGACGGGCTGCAGCTCATCCCTCCTTCAGCCTGCGTTTCAGTTTTCGTGCTCCTTCTGGACCAAACATTTCGGGGAAACTGCCGGTGCACTCTCGGGATTTCTCCTCCCATTTCTGGATGAGGTCGATGCTTTTTTCGCCACCTTCTGAACAGGTTCTTTGGATTTTCCTCCACATGTTTTGCTTTCTTCTTTGCTTTGTCCACCCGCGGTGGCGGACAGTCCGGGCAGCGACGTCTGACGCGCGACGCCTTCTGCCGGCTCCTGGCTCCGAACTCGCGGCTCCTCCGCGCGCCTCCACGA